TTAATATATTTACATTTTGATAAGAACGTACTTAGTTCTCACTTCCTCTCTTGGTATAAAACCTGAAGGTATTTCTCTTTTAGTATTTGCACTTACTGGAATCTGGCAATGCAGTTCACCAAACCAAAAATATATACAATAATATATAGATTAGGAAAAAAAATTAATATATTTACATTTTGATAAGAACGTACTTAGTTCTCACTTCCTCTCTTGGTATAAAACCTGAAGGTATTTCTTTTTTAGTATTTGCACTTACTGGAATCTGGCAATGCAGTTCACCAAACCAAAAATATATACAATAATATATAGATTAGGAAAATATGACAAAGCTAACCCCAGTATACTCAGGAAAACGGCTTACAAACACCGTATATGTTAATTATCTGCAAAAAAAAAAAAAAAAAGATGATGACATATTGGAAAAAAGGTGCCCCAAAATGCATACAGGATGGATTTTTGTGCTAATTTATTTTTCTATTGCAGAACACAGGAAAAATATGAATTTAAGGTGGAAAATTTGTGAGAAAATATAATTGACAGACTCTTTTGTCCTAAATATGAACTGCCTTTTTGGATGGTTGACAATATATTGCATTATTTTATTGATTGATTTATTTTTGCCATCAATGGTTTCTTTCTTCTTTTATTTCTCAACGGTCTCAGATCTGGTGTTTTCAGATGGAGATATCTGGAAGCAGCAAAGAGAGATTGGGAAGCTTGTTTTGTCAAAGCAGCAAGAAGGAAAGACAGGAGTGGAGAGCCAAGCTGAAGAGGAGGCCCCTCGGCTGGTGGAGACTTTCACACGTGTAAATGGTATGTAGCACCAGGAGATTATGTTGGCACTTGTTTTGCTCTGCCCAAATGTTCATGGGGCCCTTGCATGCTTTGAAGTACAATTCAACACATTTTCAGTTGTATTCTAATAAAGTTGGTTCCACCATGAAATTCCAACCTGATATTAAGAAGACAGTGGAAAATATTTGTCAATCATTTCATTTGTAGGGCAACCATTTGACCCTTTGAATGCCATCACAGCTTCTATTTGCAAAGTGGTCTGGACCATGACCTTTGGCCACCGGGTCCCTCTTGAAGACAAGGACAGCCAACAAGTGGCTGACGCCATTGAATCTGCCGTAAAATCTGGAGGGAGTTTTGTCTATGCTGTAAGTTGTTCTTTGTTTATTGCTGAGACAGACAATTCTCCCTAAAGGACCGAAGCTTTCAGAGAGCTATTGTGATGATCTTAAGCGAGGGTGAAAAGAATTGCCATCTTGCCTTGTCCCAAGTACAGTTTGTGATTGCATCAGGCCAAGACAATATCAACCATTCAACTCAGCTCAGACAGTGCAAAAAGGCTGCTTCTGCATAAGGAAGCAACTTTTATTCTACAGTTTTACCTCCTTATGACTCCTACATGAAAATATACAGTTGACTGTATCTCCCCTTCCCTCCTTCCCTCACTCATATTACACTACTCCTTAGTTAATCTAGTTCACAAAGGTAGGTGGATAAAAGGTGGAGAGTGAGAGATCTCAGTGTAGGTGTGTGCACAGTTGTGTACAGACGCATGGATAGATGTGGATGAATGGATAGAAATCTGTGTCAGAGGGAAAAAAGGGAGAAAAAGAGGGAGATGGAGGAAATGAGCTAGCAGAAGGACAGAGAGGAAGAGAAAAGGGGTTTTCCAGCCCATGATTGTCATTGGCCTCCTTCATTTATTTTAATAAGACAATGTACCTGCAACTTCAGAAAATAAAATTTCTCTTATTAAGAAATTCTTGGTTCAGTGTTGGGTGGTCCCAGGCATGTGACTCTTGGTGGTGACATTACTTTGCTCATGTCTTCTCTGTAGCTACATAAACAGTTTCCATGCTTCATGAGATATTTCCCAGGGCCACACAAAAATGCCCTGTCTAGCAGGGAGCTGGTGCTTTCCTTTACAAAGAAGGCGATAAAGAAACATAAAGAATCAAAGGCAGCGAACGAGCCACAAGATTTCACGGATTTCTATTGGCTACAAGTGGAGAAAGTAAGTACTCATTTCTTCCTTTCTTCCTACTGTATATTTTGCAAAAGGGGCTAGTCAAAGGAATCAATACATTCCTTGCTACATTGAGTTTTCTAAATGTCAAGAAGACATCTGAGAGTCTTCATATAATACTTATTTTTGGAACTCTTGCTTGTTGCACTTCCCCACATTTCTCTTTGCCATTACAATGGAAGATTACCCACAAATAAACACGGATTGGAAATACTGGGAAAAAGTATCAAAAGTTTTAGATACCACTGAATGTCATTGAAAAACTTGAGTTGTGAATATCATTGAATGACTAGGGAGTTTAAATAACAACTGGTTGGTATTTAAGGACTTTATCTGTGTAGAATCAAGGAGTTGGGAGGGGCTATTGAGTTACACCCCCTTATTCAGTGCAGGAATCCAAATCAAAGTATCCCTAACAGATGGCTGTCCAGACTCTTCATGAACACATCTAGCAAAATGTCTTGATGAAGAATTATAGAATAATCAGGTAACCAAAGGAGGTGGTAATTTCTCAAGTTCATTTGAGTGTGGAATATTTATCAACAAAGGTCTGAGGCTGGGTGTCAGTGAAGATTCCGGGTTGAAAATAATAACTTTGAAGTTAAATGCTTTTGTCCATTGAAAAGATGTGCTTCTTTCATCAAAATCTACTATTCAGCCTGTGATTTGCTGTAGGTAGAGTTTTGAGTGTTTCACACTGTGGGGATCAAGCAGCTTGTAATTGGCAAAACAGAATGGAGTATGGAGATAAGAATAAATATCCTGAATAATCCTAATTTATGCCAAACTTGATCCATTGCAAAAGTCGTATTTGCCCTCGTAACTATAGGAGAACACGGCTTGTTCCAACTTTATTTTTTTGGGTGACATAAAGATAAGTTGTCACCTGGGCACCACCAATAGGTGAAGAGCAAGTGAAGTTCTTCTCCACTGCTACATCCCTGATTTATCCTCTTAGTGGAATCCCACCAATATGTTATTACTACTCTCAAAAGTCTAAAGAATCCAATTAGTGCTGCATGTGATTTTTGAAGGGGCAATCAGATATTATTCCACAGGGGCATAAACATAGAATCAACAGATTTTTGAGTGGAGCCACAAAGGGAAAGGACTGTAAGTGTAAGTTGCAGAATCTCCATCAGTCTGCTACCTTGAACGTCTTTGTGTTGATTGATAAGCAAGGCATACAATGATGAGAAATAAAGTATTTAGTCATATTGCTGTTTTAGCACCACACATTTGCATAAAAATTCTGCATTTTTCCCCTTGCCACTGCCATATTTCCAGTTGACCTAAGGTTTAGTGTGCTTGAGGTAACACAGTGCTTGTCAGCCTTGTGAAGTAGTCCAGACAGGAAGCACACCCAGATGAACTAATTCTACTTTATTGTAAGGTTACATTAACAGAATCTTGCAAGTTTGAAAGTACATTTCTCCACCCTTGCCTTTACAGCCCAAGAAACTAGGGAGGGTCCCTTCTGAGATGTTTGCCACACACACATTCTTGCTGCAGCTTAGCTCTTCTTATCTGACTGTTCCCCTGGCTGTGGCTCTTCCCCCTGCCTCCCAAGGTCATTCCCACATACCATAACAGTGCTCCCTGTCAAATTCAGTTCAGGGGAGCTCTAATCACAGGAGAACACAAGTAAGATAACCAAATGATAGGCACCTCATTCAAAATTTCTGCTACTAATTGGCCACTGGGCTATGTTGTAACTACAGGTAATCCTTGACTTATGACCATTTGTTCAGCGACCATTCAAAGTTATTGCAGAGCTGAATGAAGGGACTTACCACCGGTTCCTGAAGTTACAGCTGTTGCAGCACCCCTGCGGTCACATGATCAAAATTTGGGTGCTTGGCAGCCTGCCTGCACTTACAACCACAGGGGCACTTTAACTCCCCCCACCTGCCTATCTCCCCCCACTTTTGGTCCCCTGCACTCAGTGGCCCCTGCTGCCCTAGCTGACTTTCGCCATCTTCTTGCTCCCACTGCTGACCAAGCATGCCCGAGGCAGCTGCTGGCCACATGAGACCATCTTCCCTAGGTCTCACCAGGAAACCGCCACATGAGACCTTGGGAAGAAAGCCTCATGCGGCCAGCAGCTGCATTGCAAAGGGCCAGGGCAGGCACGCCTCATCAGCAGCAGGAGCAAGAAGACAGTGAAGGCCAGCTGGGGCCTTGGAGTGCAGGGCAGCAGGGGCCTTGGAGTGCAGGGTGGCAAGGGTGACTGTGCCTGGGACTGGGCTGGGGTGACTGTGGCTTCTCAGGATGCTGTGGCTTTGCGCCATACTGCTGGTGGTGGGCTGGGGAGGCTGAGGCTTCCAAAGGCAGCTGCAGCTTCACATTGTACTGTGGCTCAGGGTGCTGTGGTTTTGCACCATGCTGCCGGGGCTTCCTGGGGTGCTGTGGCTTCACGCTGCACTGCTGGGGTGGGCTGGGGAGGCTGAGGCTTCCAAAGGCAGCTGCAGCTTCACGTTGTGCTGTGGCTCAGGGGCTTCTTGCAGCCCCAGAACTGCAGTGTGTTAAGAAGCCCCTGAGCTGCAGTGTGGCAAGCAGCCTTAGATCTGCATAGTTCTGGGGCTGCTTGTTGCCCCATATGGCAGGGTGCAGGGTGGCCAAAAGGCAGAGATGGGGGTAGATAGGCGGGTGGGGGGAGTTGAAGAGAAGGCAGTCCCTTATCTCACCAAGGCTTGGGGCTGGGGGGGCGGACCAAGCTTGCAATGGCTTGGATTGGGGTGGGTCCTCGGCTAATGACTGGTGGAATTTGGTTAACAATGGCAACAGGGACTGCTGGGATTGCCATTGCTAAGTGATGTGGTCATGTGACATTGCACTTAGCGATGGAAATTCCAGTCCCAATTACCATCGTAAGTTGAGCACTACCTGTATGACAGGTAGGTGTGGATTTAATGTTACAGGACAGGATCTATTTTACAAGATGTGAAGCACTTGGAGGAGGAGAACAAAGCTAGTCAACAGAAGGAAGAAGAATTGAAGGACCTGGATATAATGCTCCTGTCCTCCTCTACTGGATGACTTAGGAGCTGAAGGGCCCCTAGCCAAAAGTAGTTAAACCATATTGGGCATGTATGAGTAACTATGTCCACACTGCCCTAGATTTGACAAAAGAGAATCAAGAAAAATCTGATGATTAACAGATAACAAATACTGTGCCCCTCCATCACACCAGTTGGCCCTTAGGCAGGCTGACACATCTGCCAAAGCCAGATGTCTAATCTGTCCTGTGGCCAAAGCCAATATGGACTGGGCGGACAGGGAACAGAAGGCAGGAGTCACATCAATAGCTTAAGGATGCCAATAAGAATTTGGTCAATCCTCTCCCCTTGGTTCACCTGACTGCATCACTATCAGAAGGGCTGTTGAAGCCCATGGCAAAAACAGTGTTGGAACAAAGGGAGGGGAGACACTTCTTCAACATCAGTGCAGCGTTAAAGACAATGACAAAAAATAGGGGAGAAATGGGAGGTTGTCAGGGAGGTGTAAGTTGGGAAGGGTCCTTAGAACAGGATTTGAGAAATATTTTCCTAAACTCACAAATATGTGCAAAGATCATGGTACATTACTAGTGAATGTATGATCTTGTAGAATAGGGAGCCACACAGAAGATACGGTAAAGTTTGGAAGACCTGGCAATAACTTGTAAATGACATTTGCTTTTCTTTTTTCTTTTGTCACAAACAGAGCAAGGCTGGGCACAATACTGCCTATAATGAAGAGAACCTAGCTGAATGTGTTTTTGACTTCCTTATCTCAGGGGCAGAGTCAACTGCAATCAGTCTGCAGTGGGCACTCCTGCTGATGGCATCTCATCCAGACATTCAAGGTGAGAGAGGACTAACCATGGAAAGAAGATTGTTATTGATCCCAGGTAGAGCAGAGGGGATGGCTTTCATTTTAATACAGCACCCAAAGGTGGTAGAATGCCTCCCTCTCTAGAAAAAATAATAAGGGGAAGCTGTTGCTCTAAGCCAGTGCTGTCCAAACTTGGCCACTTTAAGATGAGTGGACTTCAACTCCCAGAATTCTGGAAGTTGAA